AACTTTCAAACTGCAGTCTCTGCTGAGACCCTCAAGCTTTTCCATCAGAATAGCACCAGTGGGCAAAAGCACGAGGTGTGTCCTAGGCAGGAGCCCAGGCTCTGGGACCGCAGAGCCAAGCGAAGGAAGCGGATGCGCAGGGCTGAGAGAGGCAAAGGCGCAGCTAGGCTCTGGGCCAGGCCAGCAGCAGAGGCCCGTGCCCCTGTGTGGCTGGCTAAGAGAGGATGAGTTCTGCCTGGTGTCCACTCGCGGGAGACAGCACAGGCAATAGGCAGCCTGTGCTCTGCAGAACACCAACCCCAAATACGGCCTTCCTTACACCAGCCGAGCAGCTCCACTTCAGAAAACTGAGAAGAAAACGAACTTTTGGCAAACCCCCCAAGTCTGGGCACCAAGCTCAGTAGGATGAGGGCATTCCAGCCAGCCCCCAGAGCCCTCAGCTGGAAGCCAGTGCTGCTGGAGGGTCTCGGAGCAGCTCTGGGCAAGTGGGAGCTGAGATCGGTGAGCCCGGCCCAGCTGTGCCGCTAACCTGAATGTCAGTCTTGAGCTTCTCGTAGTTGACGTCAATGGGGTCCTTGCTGCCATCATCAGACCCGCCCCTCAGCAGGCTGTAGGCCACCTCAATGTCCAGGAGGTTGTCCAGCATCTCCACTTTGGCCTGGGAGACAGAATTAAGTCCTTGATGAAGCACCAAGGTGAAGGAAACAGGTCCCTGACCCTTGAACAGACTAGAGACCCTGCCCCCATGTGGGACGGGACCCTCAGGCACTGCTGGGGAGCTAGCCATGCTGCTGCCCACGGGGTGAAGACAGCAGAACTGCCAGTTGGCAAGCATGAGGATGCCAGGGACCACAGGCAGAACCAAGGGCGCCACATGCACACTGCTGAGCTGGGAACGCGGGCCTGTGTGGAGGTGGAACCATAGCACAGGAGTCAGGCAGAGCTGGTCTGCCCCGCCGTTCACCAGTGTAGGCTGAAACTTCCAGAGGAGGATGTGGAAGTGGCCCTGCTGCAGGGGCCGCCGTGCCCAGCCGCAGCCCGGGCCCTGAGCTACCTGCACGCTGTCTGTGTTGTTCAGGAGCGGGGGCTTCTTCATCCCAAAGTCGTGAGGGATCAGCGTGTAGAAGCGGTTTGAAAGGTCCAGGATCTGGGAGCTGTTGCTGCCCTCGGACACCACCTAGGGGAGGAACAAAGGGACACAAGCCGGCCAGTGACCTGCGTCAGGACACACAAGAGCGGGGAGAGAGTGCCCCCTCGCCCAGGTCTCACCAAGGAGCCTCTCAGGACAGCTCACTCACGCAAAGGACTGCTACTACAGTCCCTGTGGCCTCTGCCATAAGACCTCAGCTGGGCTGGGAGTGCGGCTTAGTGATAGAGTGCCCCCTCCAGGAAGCTTAAAGCCCCGGGGCTGAGGGCTTCCAGCTACAACTGCAACATAAACTCACTCAGTGTCTTTCTTCCCTTACACAGAGTCTCACAGTGTAACCAGGGCTGGTCCTGAACTCATGGTCCTTCTGAGTACTAGGGTTACCATGTCCAGCTGAGCCTTTGTGTGCGCACACGTGCACGTTCGCATGCGCACATGTATGTGCCAGCAGTGGAGCTTAAATTCAGCCGCATGCTCCCATCCAGCTTTTTTGCTCGTAGCGCTACCCCTTGACCACCCCTCCAGTTGCTCGTTTTTTGCTGCTTATTTAGAGATGAGAGTTTCAAGATTTCTGTGCCAGGCTGGCTTTGATTTTAGCCTGAGTCTTAGGATTACAGGTGGGAGCCATCAGCATTCAGTCTCAGTCTAACTCTTAAGGACATACAAAACAAAAATCACATATTTAAGAGGAGGAACAAGTTACATGGAGATTCATGACTTGTGGTAACTGAAGTTACTGCAAAGCTGTGGCAATCCCTGGTACTGAAAATCACCCGTCCCCTGAGCCTGTCACTGAGCAGGTGTCGCTGCCATCCTGCGGGCGGGCAGCTGGGGGAGCCCGCACCCTGTCTCACCTGCTGCACCTCGCTCAGGATGGAGTACGCTGCCTGGATCTGCCTTTTGCTCAGCTTCCCCAAGGGCATCTTCTGAAGGTCGATCTAGGAGACAGAGGTCCCTTCTGAAGTGGGGGGCTCGGCAGCACAAGGACAGGAGAGCCGGACTGTACCCCTCCCCTCCAGACCCTCAGGCCCCCACGAGAAGCAGCAGAAGGCCACTGAGTTTCCAAGGAGGCCCAAGAGTCCAGCTCCCTTCATCGACAGTGGGAAAGGCAGCCGCAGCTCCTACTGCCCAGTACTTCTGAAGGCACAGTGCAACTCTGGCCAATGCCCAGGACAGTGAGGGCCCGGCCCCCGGGCTCTGCATTCATGCCGCCATGCCTGGCATCCCAGAGCCCAGGAATGTGCTGCTGGTTCAAGCTCATCTGACAAGCGTGTACCTGCCCGGGCCCTGGAGACTGCATCTGGAGAGGCTGTGGCCAGAGGCGGGCCACCATCCTCAACCTTTGTTTCTTCTCTAGTTTGGATCTGGAGTGACCCCCCCCCCAAACCCATGTTAAAGGCTTGGTCCCACATCTGTGGGACTGTTGAGAGGTGATGGGGTCTCGTCACTGGGACATGACCCTGAAGTCTTTCCTGCCTCCCCTGTACGGCCACTGCACACTCTGCCCCAATGACAGAGCCGAGTGACCACAGATGGAGCCTCTGAAACTGCATAGAGAAGCCTCTCCTCGTGAGTAAGGTGATCCCCTCAGGTCTTCTGCCAAAGGGATGGAGAGCTAAGGAAACCCCCCCTCCCTGCCCCCATGCAGCGTCCAGCTCTCCACAGCACCCCCTTCTCCCCACCCATGAAGTGTCCACCACTCCAGATGCACCCCTTCCTCCCTCCTAGTGGTCTGGCCTGTGCTGCCCCCTCAGCCCACAGCCAAGACCTCTGTCTGAGCCCGCGGCATGCTGATACGCTGTGATTCTCCAACAGCCTCTCTGTGCCCCGGCCCTGCAGCCCTTTTGCAAAGCAACAGATGGCACTGCCCAGTAAGATGCTGGAAGCTTCTGGGGAAGAGGTCTGGGCCGGGGACAAGTACTGGAGCAGTGAGTAAGTGCGTCGTCGATGCTGGTGCTTATACAGATGAAGGGGAGACCCAGTCGCCTCAACTAGACCTGTCGAACTCCACGCACAGCCCACAGTTCTGGCAAAGGCCGCATGCACAGCACTGAGCACCTGCACAGGGCACATGGACGCGCACTAGCTCGGGGCTGTGGTGTAGGAGAAGCACCTGCTCCCCACGTGCCCCATGTTGCCCTCCGTCTTTCTCTTGCTTAATAAGCTTCCCACCTGTGTTAAACCAGCAGCACCGTCGGCAGACTGCCATGGTCTTAGACCAGGAGAGTACGTGGGAATCGCATGTGGGAGCAGAGCAGGCTGGGAACGGCCCTGAATTCCACCGCTTCCCACCACAAGGCATGCCAATGACCGAGCCTCCCAGACAGCAGTCAGGGGGTTGGGGGGATGGGACGGAGCAGGAGATGACTGGACCCACTGACCACCACCCAGCGGAGGAGCCAGCGGAGGAGCCAGGGGCTGACTGTCCATGCAGCTCTGCTGGGCGGGCCAGTATCTATGGGCCGAGCAGAAAGTGCCTACCAGGCGTTTACAGGACCAGGTTTGACGCCCCCCCCCCCCCCATGGCTGCAGGGAGGGAACACGGGAGGACAGTGGAATGGGCTCGTGGTGTCAGGGAAGGCTCACTAATGGGAGCCTCCTGCAGTACCGGGTACCCCCCAGGAGCTCACCCCCGCTGCTGTGGGAGCCTCAGGGCCCGGGTGCCAGGGTCCCCGCACGCGCGTCTTTGGGAAGAGCCGTGGCAGGTATGGCGCGTAGGCACTGCTGCCACCCTGGCCTCTCCACTTTGTGGTTTCCGACCTCACATTCTACCACCAGCGACACCGCAGCCCCGCGTGTCTTCTGGAGGAGCTCTTGATCCCCTGGCACAGTGCTGGTTCCCGGGGCAACCCCAGCTGGCCGCTCTGCTCTAGCAGGCCAGCACAATGCGGGATGTGCACGGGCACAGGGGCCAGGAGCTGCTCCCTACAGCGCTGTCGCGGCAAATCAGATGACCCTTGGCAAAAAGCAGGCTCTGCGGCCCAGGCACGAGGTCTTGGCCAGCCCGGTGCCTACCTCGTACTCCACCATGGCTTTCTTCATGCTTTCGACATCAAAGATCATCCCGACCAGCTCCTGCACCGCCTTCGGGAGCTTGGATTTGGCGCCAGGGTTCACTGTCAGCTTCTTCACTGCCTCTTCGTCCTTCAGGAGAGACCAGACCCTGGGTCACTCACTGGCTGTTGGGGGCAGCTGCGGTAAGCACCCACCTGTGACAAGCACTGCTGTGACCAGAAACTCCACAGGCTTGCCAACAGCGAGTGCCTGCCTGTCACCAGATGCCTGCCCACCCCTCCTTGGAGGGCTTCCATGAGGGCATGGCTCTAATCCTAGCATTTTGGAGATGGAGACAAGAGGATCTTGAATTGAGTCCACCTGAGCTACACAGTGAGACCTTGTCTCAAAAGCAACTGCTTTCTGATGAAGGTTTCAACCAAGAAGTGAGCGAATATAAAGCACCTGTGCGGGGAGCCTCACCTCCAGACAGGTAACACTGGGAGTAAAAGCCAGCCCTAGCAGAGCACACCACCTCTGCAATCCTACCCCAGACACGTTCTGGGAGCAACTTCAAAGCCTTCCTCAGTGTCTCTGACTACCTGGGTGTGCTGTTCACACCACTAATTCCAGCTCTTGGAAGCACCTCAAAGCCTTCCTTAGTGTCTGACTAGCTGGGTGTGCTGCTTACACCTGTAATTCCAGCACCTGGAAGCCTGAGGAGGCAGCCTGGGCTATCTAGCGAGACACTGGCCAACAGCAAAATGTGTTTGTCATTATTATTTGTTTGTGCCTGTACTGAGGCCTGAACTCAAGGCCTGGTGATGCCCCTTAGCTTTTATCACTCAAAGGTTGACTCTACCACTTGTACCACAGCTAAACTTCTGGCTCTGGTGGTTAACTAGAGACAAGAATCTCAGACTTTCCTCCTGAGGCCAGCTTTGACCTGCGACCCTCGGATCTCAACCTCCCAAATAGTTAGAATTACAGGTGTGAGCCACGGTGCCTGGCTCCCTCTCAGGCTTCATTAAAAGTGATTTTCTGCGCTCGATCCTGTGGCTTGTCCGTAGCTGTGGAAGCAACCTTGCACTCTCGGCCCCGGCCCCTGGCGTCGGCTGGTGTGGCTGCTGCTGCACTGAGCTGTCGCACCGACGCAGCATGCCTTGTATTCCAAGTGGCAAGTGTCTCCCCCGGGAACAATCTTTGTGGCCTAGTGTGAACTCTTGGCTCGACAGTGGACACTGTTCACGGGCATCTGACCCGCGGGTGACTTCACAGAAGCCGTCCCTTCCTCTTACTGGCATAGACAGCGTAGGAACATCTCACCTGGCCATAGTCGATCTCCAGAGGGTAGAACTTCTTGGGGTATTTGGTGAAGTTTTTTGAGTGCCAGGCATTCCCTGTCTTCTCCTCATAGAGCTTCATGAAGTGCTCGACGGCGTCCTCCTTGGATGGCATCTGTTCCAGTTTGTTACTGCCAATCACCGTGCCCACGCGGCCCCAAGAGCGGAATATCCAGTACCTGGGGGTGGGGGGTGGGGAGGTGGTTGGGGAAGGGTGGCTTCCTGCTGCTGGGGCGGAGCTCAGGGCCCGGTGCATGGTGGGTAAGCCTCACCGCCAAAGAGCTTTACAAAAACGCCGAAGATCACTGTACTAACTAGGGGGTCGGAGATAAAGCCAAAACCGTCAGAGTCTGCCAAGGTTTGTGTCAGGAACTATAACACATAGGACGAGGAGCTCTCGTACCTTTAGTGACTGAGTCTGTACTGCAGCACTGGCGTCACAACCGTGACCAGGGCTTCCTCCGCTTGCACGCTTGGTTTTTGGAGGTGAGGTGTGTGCCCCAAGCCCTGCAGCCTCCTCACGACAGCAAGCGACAAAGGACGCCCCCCCCCCCGGAACTCTGGGCCGCACCTGTTCTCCTTGTCGCCCTCCAGCAGCTGCAGCTTGTAGTAGGAGTTGGTGCCTTTCATGATGTCCACCAGGCCCAGCGTTGCGCTGAAGACCCGCCCGCCTTTCTCCAGGACGTGTGCAGAGTGCTCCAGGCCTGGCAAGGAGGCAGAGCCAGTTCTCTCCTCAGAGGGCTGTGGCGCTCAGCAGAGCGGAGGGGTCCTAGGGGTCCCAGCTTGCTGGGGGTGGGGCCAGCTTCCTGCTGGCCAGCACGGGCGCTACTGCATACTACTCACCCGAGTCGGGGTCAACGGCCGCCCCTCCCTTAAGAGTTAGCTTCATCCTCTTTTCAGACTTGTTCGGACCTTGGGAGGGGACAAAAACGCTGTGGTTCAATCCCTCTGGAGGAGCTGGAGGGTGCTCCCATGCATCCCGGGCCTCACCTTCCTCCTTGGCAGGACCCTTGCTCTTCTTGGAGAGTACAGCACCCGACTTCCCGCGCGGGGCCTCTTCCACAGGCTCTGTCTTCACCTCTGCCCCCCACGGGGACAAGATGTGTACTGAAAAGAGCTCCTGGAGGGTCTTGGTGGAGGTGGAGACATCCTGGAGGAAGTCCTCCGACACGACGCGAATGTTGGCTTCTTTTACTTCCTCCATCTTCTTACTCATCTTGTCTACCTCCTCTGTTCAAAACCGGAAAGAAAAACTTAAGTGGTAAATTAAAACCAGCGCCTGATCTCGGTTATGACTGCAGCACTGCACTTCCCCAAACCGCGACCCCCCTTCCCCGTCTCTCTTCCAAATCATTCCCTCTCAGCTTCGGCAGCCAAGCTGCCCAGCGTGGGGCACCAGCAGGTGTTCCCAAGAAATAGGCCCTGCAGACGAGGGCATGGGAAATGGGTGTTCTGGTCTTGGAAACCTAGACATCTCCAGCACAGCACTCCCGCCAAGGAACAGGCTAGAGTGTGGCCCAGCAAAGAGCTTAGCACTAGCAGAGCACTAGCCTTGCACGTGTGGGGCCCTGAATTTCACCCTCAGTAGTAGCAACGAGTCAAAAGCAGCTAGAAAGAAACCTATGCCCCTAGTACTTCCAAAGCCTCCCAGAGCCGCAAACTTCTGCCTGGCAGAGAACCCACGCCCACCCTGTGCAGTTCTGAGCCGGGCAGATGCAGGCTACAACGGCAGCACAGAGGGCCCAGCACAGCAGAGGGCACTGCACTCACTTTTAGTGCTGATGCACAAGGAGGCCTTGCTGGCTGTCCCCGTCACCTTGCCCCCGAGCTTCTCAACCTCCGCTTTCACCTCGTCTTTGTTCCGGGACAGCTTCCCGAGTGTCAGGACCTTCATGTTGGACAGAGGCTTATCTGGGATGGAGAAGAGAACCATCAGGCTGGGCACACGCTGTGCATGGTTCCCAGGGAGACGGGCAGGAAGGCCGAGCAGTGAGCCAGCAGCGAGCCCGGGGTCTCAGGCTGGCTCGGTGCGCTCACCCACTGAAGGCTTTCCCCTTGCGGGGACAGAAGCAGCAGGCAGAGGAAAGGCCGCACAAGGCCCTCAGTGGACAGGCCGGGTAGGAGGCAAGCCCGTAGTCGGGGTGGCCACAAGAGGAAGGGCTAGGAGGGCAGTCCCCAATTTCTTATTCTGCTCTTCCCACCTCCCAAGAACAAACTACGATTCTTATTTATAAATGAGATACAGCTGATAGTTCGTCAACACAGCATGCTGGTCAGGCTGAGCGAAGCCGGTCCAGGCAAAGCAGCGGGAGGGCAGTGGCAGGATGCAGTGCAGAGACAGCCCCAGAACAGGCCCACGCGCAGCGAGCCCTGCCGCCACAGCCCCAGAACCAGGCCCACGCGCAGCGAGCCCTGCCGCCACTCTGCTGGTGCGTGCGGGGATATGGATAGAGGGCCCCATCTCCAGAGAAAAAGCGAGAAAGCCACGGGCATGCGTTGGAATTGCCAGGGGAAAGCACTGACTACCACACTGCCTGACACCGGGCAAGCTAGACGGACTTGTGTGAACCCCAGGTCCTCCAGAAAAGAAAGTTCCACCCACCCAACTAGGCTGTGTCTGATTAAAAAAAAAAAAAAGAGACCCCTGTGTTTTTTTTTGTGGTCGTGAGGCTTGAACTCTGGGCCTGGGCCCTGTCCCTCAGCTCTTCAGCTCAAGGCTAGCACTCTACCACTTGAGCTACAGTGCCACTTCGGGTTTTCTGGTGGTTTATTGGAGATCAGAGTCTCACGGACTTTCCTGCCTGGGCTGGCTTTGAACTGTGATCCTCAGATCTCAGCCTCCTGAGTAGCTAGGATTACAGGCGTGAGCCCAGCAAGGTCTCTTCTTTCAGAAGAGCACTCTCTCTTCTCGTCCCCACAGGCTTGGACCAGACCGAGGCTGGCCAGCCCTTCCCTGCTGCACATGGCACACCCTGCAACTGGCCAGGTAGGGAGGAAGGCAAGGCCTTCAGAGACCAGAGGAGACTGCCCACTGCCCGCTGGAGCGGCCCCTCCTCTGGGATGCTAAGCTTATGCCCCTGGGGACCAAGGGCATGGAGGGGCGGAGACCCCAGGGCTGGGGGCAAGGCAGGGTGCCCTGAGCTTACCTGGCAGGGCGGAGTCCACAGAAATGGGGGTGGAGGCTGAGGAGGGAGGGGGTGCAGCTGGTGTGGGGGTACTGGTCTCTGGGGGAAACAGGCGGTCCTGCTTTTTGATCTTTAGTTTCTTAAGGTAAGAGATTTCTCGGAATTCCTAAAGAATAAAAGCTTTAGGTTTTGAGAAACAGCTTCCATGAAACCACCACCCCGCAGACCAGGATTTAGTCCATGCCAATTCAGTAACAAAGAACAATGTCATCAAGAAAACAATGCAGAACACTACTTATCACTGCGCCCCACGCACGGCTGCCCCTCCCAGGGGATCCGGCGGGCTTCTGCCACAAGCCCACTGACAAGTGTCGGGTCTGCACAGCTGGAGCTCGCAGTGGCGGTGGCTGAGGCCCGGGTGGTTGCTGGTAGATGCCCAGGGCCCGCCTGGCACCACACGTTCATTGTACCCTTGAGAAAGGCACAAAGGAGCGGCGCTGCCAACTAGGGAGGCTACAGTGGTAGGGGACGCTCGGGCCAGCAGGCAGGCAGGGAAACCAGCGCCGCAGAGCACCTCGACCCTCCTTGCTGTGGAGGACACGTGGGCGCGAAGCGGTGAAGGGGCGTGTGCACAGGGGCGGAGAGGGGGGAGCAGGGCAGAGTGCTGCAGCGTCTGGGGAAACCCAAGGGCCTGTGTTCAACACTGGGGGGACAGGTATGAAGAAGTGGGTGCAGAAGCCAGAACACCCAAACCACACAGGTGGGCAGGAGGCATCCGCACAAGCCCCTTATGAACAGACAGACCCGCCACACTTGGCCAGCACAATAGAAACCAGCTCCTTATTCCCTGTCCTGTTACTGCACCACCAGCAGATACCACCACCACACAAGAGCTGGGAAGAGTTGTGTTGTCAGAAATGTGAAATCAGGGCAGGCCTTCCGAGCTTTCAGAGGGGTGTGGTGTAGTGGTGGGGGCGGGGAAGGGGACATGGGAAGGTCAAAGTGCAGGAGACGGACTGTGATTGCTCAGTGAGGAAGGAGGTGTGTTCACAGGAGTCCCACCGTGTGCAGGCTGCAGCAAGGGGCAGGGGCAGACCAGTCTGATGGCCGGAGCGTGGAAAAGCCCTAAGGGGCACGTGTCCTGTGCAGATACTGAGGTGCTCCGGACCCTCACCTTTGGGGTCACCCACGCCTTGCGGCTGGGGGTCTGTGTCTTGACCATGCACTTGGTCCAGGCCGTGACGTCTCCGGTGCAGTAGTAGGCATCGCTCCTGAAGACCAGCTGGCCTGCGCACTCCGCACAGGGGAGGAGCGCCCCGAACGCCATGCCATCTGCAACTCGGTCCAAGATCTGAAGCCACAAAGAACACGTCAGAGCAGAGCGCGGGGGGAGGCAGGCCAGTGTTAACAGCCTGCTCTCTGGAGAGAGTACCCAGCCGGAGGGGGGGGTGGGTCCTGCCCCACCCAGTGCAGAGGCCCCTGGGCCTCCACCTTGGAGATCTGGAGAACAAGGGCCCAGAGCACCGAGGGCTGGCGGATGCCGTCTCAGGACAGTCTGAACCAGGGCAGAAGCAGCAAAGCAGGGTGCTCAGGCCAAAGCACATGGCGTGAATGTTCTGACAAACTCGGGCCTCACCTCGGCAATAGTTGTAGGCCCAGAGAGCCCGCCCACCTGCTCCACCCAGGCAGGGCAGGCAGGGCGGAGCCCGGCTCTCCACCAGCTTCAAGGAGAGGGCCTCCCACTAGGGTGGGGAGGGGTAGGGTGGGAAAAGGGGCCCAAGGCAGCGCACCGCAGACTCTCCCGACGGCACTTGCTGCTTGTTGAAGATGAGCAGCTCCTTCAGGTCGCTGGTGGAACACACCTTCTTCAGCTCGTCCTTGAGGTTCCAGATCAGCTCATTCTGGGCCTGGAGAAGAGAGCTGCAGCTGAACTCCCAGCTCTCCTGCCTCAGCCTCCAGTGCTGGAGTTACAGGTGTGCCACTCCACGCGTGGCTGAGACCTGCCCTTTTCAGTGAGGAGTCCAGCTGAGGTGGAGCCTCTGCTACATCCCTGTGAATGGGGCTGACCCTCCCAGAGCTGGACTAACACCCCTCCCCCCCACCCCGTCAGGACTCTGCCACGGGCATTAGTCAATCTGGCTAGGGCCGCCCCAGGACACTCTGGAGACCAAGGGGCAGGAGCTCTGCCACAGCTACCTTTGCCTTTTTAGTGCCCTGCCGAAGCACGCTCAGCACAATGTCCTCCTCACTGCTCCCCATACAGGGCACCGCTGGGCACCAGCAACGGACACCAGCAGCACCGGGAAGGGTGCGAGCACAGTAGAGGCTCGGGGGCAAGTGACTCTTCCAACTCCCCCTCCACCGGCAGCACTGGAGACAGAACCCCGTAGCCGCCGAAGGGCTAGTGTAGAATGGCTCCACAGCTCTGGGCTTCTAAGTTTTTAACAGGAAAACCTAAATATTCATACAGGAGCCCAGCAGATGGCGCATGGAACTTGAGTTCCACGTTCCTAAAAACCTACAGTTCTCAACATGCAGCCTTTCTGAAGGATTAAATTTTTACTTTGCTTCCACAGGCCTTTCCAACACGGTGGTGAACCTGGTTCACCACCACTGATTTAATGGGCAATCTCTTCCCTCCCAATATACACCACCCATCCCTTCAGTAAGAACGCTTTAAAATAAGAAAAAGCTTTCTTCAAACCACCTATTGAAGAAGAGCCTCAGTCACCTTTGAACTTAAAACTCGACTTAGGCCTAAGACACGGTGATGCCTAAGGGGTCCAATGTGGGGTTCTGTGCCACCTCCACGCGGTGGTCTGATACCTGTGGCCTAGTATGGGCTCCTTCCCCAGTCAAACCTGTTTCCTTGGGGGCGGGACAGGAGCTGGGAGGAGAGCCCGGGCCCACTGCCAGCTTTCGCTGTGGAAAGCTTCCCCCGGTAAGCAGACCACCCTCTCAGGGCCCCCTTCCTGATGAGGAAGAGAACCCACCTTGAGGGCCTTTTCCAGCTTGCTGTCCTTGTCTTTTTCTTTCTTAGACTTCTTCTTGACTACTTCACCTGTGCCATCCACCTCGTCTCCTTTCCTCTTCCTGAGACACAAGACACAGATCTGGCCACTGAACGGACACCTGAGACCCGGTGACGCCCCCACTGCCAGGCAAGAGAAGCTGGGCCCCAGCGCCCGCTCTGCTCTTGCCTTCTAGAGATTCCATCCGGCCCAGAACAGGCTCTGCGGCCAGGGAGGAAGGAGGCCTGAGGGCCACACCAGCCTTGGGCAGCCAGGACAGGATCCAGGGGCTCAGGTGCTACTTTATGCTACTTATCTTTCTCTCTCTCTTTTTTTTGTCGGTCATAAGGCTTTAACTCTGGGCCTGGGCGCTGTCCCTCAGCTCTTCAGCTCAAGGCAAGCACTCTACCACTTGAGCCGCAGTGACACTTCAGTTTTCTGATGGTTTATTGGAGGTAAGAGTCTCATGGTCTCTCCTGCCCGGGCTGGCTGTGAACCGCGATCCTCAGATCTCAGCCTCCCGAGTAGCTAGGATGACAGGCGTGAGCCACCAGCGCCCAGCACCCCAGCTCATCTCTTGGCATAACCAAAACAGACAGGAACTGCAGACAGACACAACATGAGCACCAGAACGGAGCCAGTGGTGTGGAACACAGGGTGGCTGGCGCTGCCTTGTAGAGTCAAACAAGAACCAGAGGCCAAGCGCTGCTGGCAGGCTTGGTCACACACGCAAGCCCCGGTCGCCCTCCCACTCACGCCCTACAGCTCTGCGACAGCCACAGGCAGTCGGCTAAGTGCACCCGGCACACCAAGCGTGGGTGACCAATCCAGGTGCGGCAGTAAGGCCGCTGAGTTCCTCCAGCTGCTGTCAGCCACGCGGCCTGTGGCATGAGTGGGAACGTGCGTGGCGGCTGCCGGTGACCACCGCCCCGGCTGCCCCACAGGGGGCACACCGGCACCCAGAGCCCGCCCCCCCCCCGCCTCGGCCTGTCCATCAACACATCCCACACCATGGCAAAGGCTCCGAACACCTGATGTGGAATGCTAGGAAGCGGAGGGGGGGCGGGGCAAACATGGCCACTGACCTGCGCAAGGGGACAGAAGGCTGGCTCCCAGGAGTGACCCTGGCCTGCCATCTCCCTGGCTTTCTGGCAGTCAGCAGAGGGAAACAGTACCCCAGGAAGTCCCGCGCGCCAACTGCGCTCCACCCACCCTTCACTCTTGACCCCCGGCAGCTGCTTCTTCAGGGCTTCCTTGTCCTCTGTGGCAAGAAGGCTGAAGCCTTTGAGCTGGCTGGCACTGTACTCAGGCCGGAAGCCCAGCTCCTCCCGGTTCTTGACAAAGCAGTTTGGATGGTACCAGCGGTCAATCATGCCCAGCTGTGGCTTCTTTGGGTCCAACATCTTCTTGGACAGGCGCACCTGGCCCTGCAGGAGAAAAACCGCAGGTGTGAAATGAACCGCTGTGAAATGAACAGGAGGGGCTGGCTGGGCCCCAACAGGACAAGACCTAGCTGGCAACTTGAATGCTACTGGGAGGTTCGGGCTCTCAGGATGGTAGGTAACCCTCAGGTATCTAAAATGTTAGCAGTTAAGCAAGCTGGGCACTGGTGGCTCAAGCCTATAATCCTAGCTACTCAAGTGGCTGAGATCTGAGGACTGCAGTTCAAAGCCAGCCTAGGCAGGAAAGTCTCTGTGAGACTCTTATCTCCAATGAAACACTCAAAACACCGGAAGTGGCTTGCTCTGTCAAGTGATAGAGCACAAAGAGGCTAAGGAACAGTGCCTAGGCCCTGAGTTCAAACCCCACACCCGACAAAAACAAAACAAAATGCAGTTAAGCTAGGTACCAGCGGCTCATGCTTGTAATTCTAGTTAGTTAGGAGGCGGAGATCTGAGGACGGCTATTCAAAGCCAGTCCAGGAAAGAATGTGCATGGGACTCTTAGCCCCCATTAATCTACCAAGCAGCCAGAAGTGGAGCTGTGAATCAAATGGTAGAACACAGTTTTAAGTGAAAAAGCTAAGGGACGGTGCCAGGGAGCCCCGTCCAAGTCCAACACACACATAAGCACTCGTGGTGAAGTGCTAGCCTGTGGCTCCACGCCAGCATGGCTGGACCAGTAAGGAGTGACAGCACTCTGAGGGTGCCAAGAACACTTGACGTGAGGTGACAGTGGGCTGTGGCAGGCTGCACACTTGTCCCAAAGAGGCTCTTTGGGCCCATCCCCTCCTCCACACAGACCTGGCTCTCTCTGCACAGGAAGCAAGCTACCCAGGCAACATTCCTAAACCACAGCTGAAGCCCAGTTCTGTGAGCCTGCCAGGTCTGCCATGCTCAGGCCTGCTGCTCCCGCTAGGCACCGCCAGGCCTCGACAGCCTCAAGAACATAACACACGCTTGCTGACATGCCAAACTCTGCTTCAGGCCAATCAGCAGCCCGCGGCATCTGGCACCCCTCGGAGCAAGGGGACCTTAAGGTTTTGTAGTGCCAGTTCTGGGGCTTGAGCTTAGTGCCTGGGCGCTGTCACTGAGCCTTTTCTCTCGAAGCTAGCACTCTACCACTTGAGCTACAACTCTACTTCCGATTTCTTTGGTGGTTAATTGGAGGGAAGAGTCTAAAGGACTTTCCTGCCCAGGCTGGCTTCGAATTGCCACCCTCACAACTCACCCTTCTGGGTAGGTAGCGTTCTCAGTTGTAGATGCTGCCGGAGATAGTGGAACTTTCCAGAGGTGGAGTCTGGTGGGAGGAGGTTAGGTAGCTAGAGGCAGGCCCTGGAAGTGGGGGCTTGTGGGAGGCTGTGAGGTCCCTGGGGCATCCAGCAGGAGGCATGTCCCCGGAGGGAACTGGCCCGCCGGGCTGTTTCCCAGCTGCCACCTGCTGCACAAGTTGCTTGCTGTACCTGCCAAGCTCTGTGCCTCCACACGCCCAGAGCAACAGGGCCAAGCAATCACCGAACTCCTTGCTGGGCACTGGTGGCTCACATCTATAACCCTAGCTACTCACGAGGCTGAGATCTGAGATCATGGTCCAAAGCCAGCCTGAATAGGAAAGTCCATGAGACTCTTATCTCCAATAAACTACTCAGAAAAAGCTGGAAGTGGCACTGTGGCTCAAGTGCTAGCCTTAAGCAAAAGCAGCTTAGGGACAGCAACCAAGCCCATAGTTCAAGCCCCAGGACTGGCACAATGAATGAATAATTAATTAAGGTCTCTAAAAATTTGAACCAATACAGCCCGTTCCTCCTTTGAAGACTGATCTTAGGTGTTCTTAGGTGTCTGGTCAGAGACAGAAGCTGAGTAATGAGCTGTACAATACTTAGAGAGGCAGAAACTCTCAGCAAATCCTCAACTGAGCCGATGCGTGTGTGCCGGTAGGCACAGGGTACCTTCTACCCTGGCTTCCTGGGCAGCCATCCATTTCATTGGACTGGCCAGCAGTCTTCAGGGACAGAACTGGCAGGGCAGCTGGTCAGTGGAGGCCTTTGATCAGACAGGAGATGGCAGAGGCTCCTACCAGGGGACAATGCCCTCAGCAGGACGCTTGTGCAGCCTGCCCTCCAGCCCAGCATACCTACTGTGCTACGTTCGTTCTCCAGACCGCTCCAGAGGCCACCATACACGGAGGACTGTGTGCCCATAGGCACAAGCCTGCTGACATGGGCATTGTCCATCTCCAGTCTCCAAGAGGACTGTATTATTTTGCCAGTTGTGAGGCCTGAACTCTGGGCCTGGGCGCTGTCCCTCAGTTCTTCAGCTCACGGCTAGCGCTCTACCAGTTGAGCCACAGCACCAGTTCAGGCTTTTTCTGCTTATGTGGTACTGAGGAATCAAACCCAGGGCTTCATGCATGCAAGGCAAGCACTCTACCACTGAGCCACCTTCCCAGCCCACTTTTTTATTTTTTGACAGTACCAGGGTCTAAGGCCTCATGGCTGGTGGTCTACCACTTGAACTGTGCGTCTAGCCCAGCTTTTTGGCTGGTTATTCTGGAGATGAAGTCTCATGGACTTTTCTGCACAAACCTGATATTCCAGATCTCATCCCCCTGCGTAGTCAGGATTACAGGTATGGGTCACTGGCTCCTGACCCCCGTCTATTTTTAGCCAGTCGAGCACCTGAAGCCTGCTTCTGTCTCTCCTGCAGACGGCGGTGTGGCCAACACAGGTGCACCCCGCTCAGGCACCCACCGCTCACCTTCTCTATCTTCTCCATACAGCCCTTGCATGTGCTTCGGTTGGACTTGGCGTACTCTGCTGCGAAGTCGCCCAGCATCTTCTCCGCCTTCCCACCCGTTCCATCTGCGCCTTTGCCTAGAGTCAAACACATGGCAGTATTCACCTCAGGAGCTCGCAAGTTGCTCCCAATGCCCAGCTCCGTCTCCATCTCTCCACTAGACGCCTGCACTCCAGGCAACCACGACTGACACCTCTCATCCACTGTAACAACGGTGGCTGCTCAGCAGGGCAGCAGGGAATGAAGAGAGCGTCTTCCGAGTGAGTGAGTGGCCTGACTCCCACTGCGCCCCCTGGAGCCCTCTCTATGAAGAGCACTGATCAGAGACGCACAGCCCAGGCCTCAGCAGCACCCAGGCAGCACCAACAGGACAAACTGGGTCAGTCAGCTGGGCAGAGAAACAAGGACAGTCGCACACGACTTTCTTCAAAAGCTGCTGGGAAAGTTTAAGGCATTCAGCTAGTTTGTGGACACGAGAAGTAGAGTGTGATGGAGAGCACAGTGCCAGTGGGAAGGCTCAGGACAGGACAGACAGCAGATAAGCAGAGCGAAGACGACACAGCCGTCTGAGGGGCAGTCACAAAGAAAGACTGTCTTCAGCAACGTAGGAGTCTCACAAAGAGCTCTAAAAACAAAGTCTGTTTTGTAAAAAAAAAAAAAAAAGAGAGAGAGACCAATGTAAAAAGACCTAACCTACTGAGATTTTTGTAGAAGAAGCCTCTGGAATCCGTGCAGAAGATGAACCAAGTCAATCAATGGAGCTGGGAAAATCAAGCTGTCACCAGAAAGATAAGGCTCACACCACACACCAGGATCAAGTCTAGGTGACTAGTAAGCCAACAGGGACCAATGGCCTAAGGCCACAGCTGTTCCCCTCTCCCCCACCCGTACTGGATCAGGGAAGGGCCAGGCCTCAGCACCTGACCGCGGGCAGCAGCCATACCAGGAGGCTCTGAACCCACACCCCAAGGGCAGAGCAGTGACAGCCCTGGGAGTCAGAGCCATGCCAGAGGAGACAGAAAGAGCCTTCCCCTCCCCCTTCCGCTCCCCCGGATTCTCAGACCATGGCAGAAGGCTGTACTATTGGATGTCTCTTTAACTACTGTGGCTGCGGATTTCTTATCAGCAGAATATTTTCTGACAAGTCAAAAACATTTTTGGAAGCCAGGCCCTGGTGGCTCACGCCGGTCATCCCACTCAGGAGGCTGAGGTCTGAGGACTGCAGTTCAAAGCCAGCCCAGGCAGGAAAGTCCACGAGACTCTTATTCCCGATCAACCACCTACAAACGGGAAGTGAGCTGTGGCTCAAAGCCGCAGAGCGCTGGCCTTGCACAGAACAGCTCAGGGACAGTGCTCAGGCCCCGAGTTCAAACGCACAGCCGGCCAGACCAATTTTGTTTTTGGTGGAGACTGTCTCTACAGAACACAGGTACTTCTTTCCTGGTTGTCACTCCCTCTGTGACACAGTGTATTCCCTTGTATGTAGTCACCTTGCATTAGCCATCACCGGTAATCTAGAAAAGACTAAAATATATGGAAAGCAGAACCCCAGCTACTCTGAAGGGCTAGGGGCTACCTGGGGCACCTTAGTGAGATACTACCTCAAAATAAAAGGGCAGGAAATGTAGTTAGCCACAGTGTCTGTGTAGGCTCGTGTAGCAGGCCATACAATCCTCAGTACTGCAAACAAAAGACAAACCAACCTCTGCCACTGCCCTAGAATCCAGTGTACTAAGTCGGCGTCTAACAGCTTTGTCCCGAGCTGCTCGCTAGTACCTGGCATGGTGAGAACCAGAACATAAAAAGGAAAAACTGGAAAGGCAGCACAAAAAACTGTGGTTTTCAGGGCTTCTGGAGAGGGAGGACGCTGACCTGAGCCCAGAAGGTGCCAATCTCAGCACTGACCGGGGCGTGGGCATGCTACCCCACTCCGTCCAAGGCGAGGAACACCACGCCAGACTGCAGATGTACCAGCTGCAGCAGGTAGACCAGAGAGGCACAGTCAGACACAGGGGATACTCTGCTCAGATTTGCTGCAAACTAAAACTGCTCTAAAAACAAAACTACATAAATGTAGACTGCACTTCAAGCATGGGGAGAATGAAATGATAATCACCAAGTAATAGGTGTTGTGTTCTTAAACAAGAGAGAGGCTAGCTAGGTGCTCAGGAGGCTGAGATCTGAGGATCGCCGTTCAAAGCCAGTCCTAGCAGGAAAGCCCGTGACCCTCATCTCCAGTGAACCACTAGAAAACCGCAAGTGGTGCTGTGGCTCAAGTGGCAGAGCGCTTGCCTTGAGCTATAGAGCTGAGGGGCAGCGCCCAGGCGGGGTGGGGGCAGCCGGGGCTGCTGTACCTACCAACCACTCCCCCGGCCTCCGCGGTCCTCCTCACTTTCTGCTGGTCATCCCACCGCAGCTCGGAGAAGCCGTCCACCTCCACGTCCGGCTGCCGGATGCAGTGGCCCATCTTCCAGAAGCAGGAGAAGTGATGCCAGTGGGGGACCTTCCCATCAAACATGGGCGACTAGAAGAAACCAGAGAGGCCGCTAGCCTGGGCTGGCTGCTGTCCACTCTGCCCCCAGCCCTGGGCATCACAAGGAACCTGGTTTCAGTGCCCGGAGGACAGAGGGGCCTGGGTCCTTCACCTGCTACCTCGAGAGTGACACATGGATGAGCGACAGCGCAGGGCTCACATTTCTTCTCCAGCTCTGACGGCCGAGAACCGCTGAGCCCAGTCTGGGGGCGCGGTGCGCCCCGTGGCCTCAGCGCCCCTTCAGTGTGCAGCACTACATACAGGGCAGGGGCCTGCTGCCGCCAGAGCCACGTGCAATCCCCAGCATCCCGGGCCTGCACCCATGCCAGAGGCCTGTGGGACCCAGCAAGGGCCCTGCAGCACAGTCCTGAGAACGCAAGACCCAGATGCCAAAGCAAGAGAGAGAAAGTGGGTCAGGAAAAGCACCACTTCTCAATCCTGCTGCAGAGAAGGAGGCAAGAGCATCCGCGAGCAGCGAGGCTGGCGGGCAGCGGCACGGGAAAGGCAGCGTCTTCTGCATCGCGGGATGCAGCACACTGAGGCTGCAGTCAGTCCTGCCAGTGACTCAGCCGGAGCTCAGTAGCAGCTGACAGCGACTGGGAGGAGAGGGTGCGGGCACTGACAAGCTGAGGGGGCATCCACAACCAGCCCGGCCTCACACACACGCCTGCAAAAGCACAACCAAGAGTAGCCCCAGAACGCTTCAAAAGGACAAGAAGCGAAAAGGGCACACCAATGTAAAATAGCATTAAAGACAAACACCAGCCAGGCACTCGGCGGTGGCTCACACCTATAATCCTAGCTACTCAGGAGGCTGAGATTGGAAGATCTTGGTTTGAAGCCAGCCTGGGCAGGAAAAGTCCCTGAGACTCTTATCTCCAATTAACCCCCAGAAAACAGAAAGTGGAGCTGAGGCTAAAAGTGAAAGAACACCAGCCTGGAGCAAAAAAAGCTCAGGGACAAAGCGGAGGCCCTGAGCTCAAGCCCTAAGATAGATAAAAACAAACAAACATATTTTGCCATGCTGTTGGTTCACACCTACATCCTAGCTACTCAGGATGCTGAGATCTGAGGATCATAGTTCAAAGCCAGCCTAGGCAGCAAAGAACATTTGTGAGACTCTTATCTCCAATGAACCAACAGTGGTAGAACGCTCAGCTTGAGCTGAAGAGTTCAGAGATAGCGCCCAGGCACAGAGTTCAAGCTCCACAACCAACAACAATAACAACAAAAAACAAAAACACCATTTTTTATGTCTGCTGGCGTGGCGTGGTGGGAAAGCAGTGCAGAAGAAAGCATCAGATAAACGCTCTAACCTCGCTCAGGACCTTCACATGCCAGGCTGACTGCAGGCAGAACGGCTTTTTTCTGGGTCTGGAAAGCTAACCACAATCCTGACCTCAGACCACACTCGGTGCTTCCCTTCCCCTGGGTCTCCGTGAAGGCATGCCTGGGCGGGCTGACTCTACTGTGTTTCAGACTGCTCAGAGGTGTGCCTAGCTCAGCCGCAGGCAAAGGGCCATTGAAGGCCCACCCTGCAGCCAAGAAAGGAGGGACAAGGCCTGGTGTCCCCCACCAGATGGCAAAAGGCATTTCTGGGTGGATGTGTTCCAGCTCTCAAGCTCTCCCAAGGCCCAGAGTCCATGGGAGGCCCCGGCCATCCCGTGGCCATGCCTGTAGTGGCCCTACCCAGCTCTGCCAGGGCCGGCACCTACAGCACTTGGGTCTAACGCTGTGGCTGCTGGCTAAAGGCACACGCAGGCAGGCATGCATGCGCGCGCATACACTCACACACACACGCGCATACACACACACGTATACACACACACGTATATACACACACACACAGCTTAGAGGACAGCGGAGCACAGACCAAGGTTGCAAGACGCATCTCCACTATGATGACCAGGGGTGCAGCGACTGTGAACCCATACACTGCGCACCTACCTCATGCCAACATCCCTCATCCAGTTCCCAGGCCAACAACCAGCTAACCACAGACAGATCAGATTACGGATGGTGGGCCAGGAGAGCTCAGGGCCTTGGAGGGACCACCCATCTACACCCACCAGGACCAGCAGGAAGCCTTGGGCCGGCCCCTCCCTCCAGGGCTGCTCTACCAAAGGGCCTAAGCAGAAGGTCCTTCCCTACAAATGTAAAGGAAGGATTTAATTTCACACACCCAGAAGAAAAGCTGCTTCCTCCAAGCCCCAACCACAGCTGCGTGGTCAACTTTAAATTCTGAACACAAACTCTCAAGAACCACCACAGAAAATCCACCTTTACTTTGAATAACCCCAAATTTTGCTACGGGGTAAAACCCCAGGAACGAGGTCCCAGACAAAGGCTAACCTGTCCACCAACCCAGGTAACTGTTTACCAAGCCCTCACACACCAGAGCTGTACACAGAGTGGTCCTCTCGTGGGCACATTGCCCGGGATCAGCTATAGAACTCCAGGGCTTGCCACTCTCTGCGTGGTGAAGATCCCTATGTGGGTCCCCACTCATGTCCAGGTTCAATTCATTACTTCCTCCAATCTCAGATTTAAGCAGCAGAGCAAAGGCACGCTAGCGGCATCTCCTGCCACCCCGGGAATCGGGACATTGCCCAGCCCTGACACGGCTTAGTGGACTTGTGCAGATGAGCGGAGCCAACCCTGAGGACTCGGGGCGAGAGAGCAGAAGGGCGAGCGCCCCAAGTCCTCCTCGACGCAGGTGCTGGAGGTCCACTAAGCGCCTCAGGTCACTCCTGAGACGGGGACAAATCAATGACCGTGGCCGTTAGCCCGGAGCTTGCAGGAGCCGGGTCGGGCAGACCTGGGAGGCAGGCACCCCCCGGCCCACCCCACCCCTGCTGGCCGCCAGGCCTCGAGGAACCCCGGAGACCCCCGACCTCTCGTAAAGCCCCCCCCCGCACCGCCGACTCCAATCAGACGGCTGCAGAAGCGCGCCTGCGCCCTTGGGGCCGGCCGCGCTCCCCAGCCGCGGGCCCGGCAGAAACCGGCGCTTCGCGAAGCTTCGCAGAACTGAGCAGAGCACCGGAGAGCCGGCAGACGACGAGGAGCCGCCTCCGGGCTT